AGTAGGCCATGGTGTAATTAAGACTATTCTTTTTAGGTACCTTATATTTATGCTTTTCCCCTCCACCTAGATACCATGTATCAAATTCAAAATTACACATCCATTAGGCATCTTCTCAGGCTTTAAACACACACACACACACACACACACACACACACACACTCTCTGTTTTCTAATAACAAGTATATCCTTCCATTCATTAACCCCAGTGGTACCCTAACAATCAGAAAAGAGACAGATAATGCAGGGCCCAGAATATGGAGAGAGAGAGTTCTCTAGACTTTCTTCATTATTCTGGAGAAGACCACACAAAAAGCACAACATTTTAACAACAAAGTGATGTTGTAGCACATAGACTCTGACGTTCAGTGGAGAGACTGTTAAATTCCCATCAGGGCACACACCATGAACTGTGCTAATGGATGCAGCACATTTCAAAAAATCTGCATGGGTGAGGCTTTTTCATCCTGTTTTAAGTGGGGCAATGTATATAAATAATAGATATTAGCAATTAAGCAACCATTCCAATGCACACATTTATACATTTGAAAATAAATTAACCACAAACTGCATAAAAGTAGATGTCAGCTTCCCCATTCTCCTCCTGTTTCCCTCTGCTATTCTTGAAAGACTTAACTGTATTTATCTCAGTAAGAACAATGACCCCCCCTCCCCATTTCTCAATGCTTATATTATTAAATTAATTGAAGCCACCAAATCCTCCATTAATGAAGTGACTCTGAAACTCCTAAATTTCATAATTGCTGTTGTTTTAGGATTTAGGATGTTGAGAATGCTTTGCTCTTCCTTCTTCGATGCCTCAGCCTGAGGATTTTCATCCCGGTGCACAGTACAAAAAACTCTTTCCTTGACGTCTTGTCACAATGGGGTGAGTAAAGGATGGACAATTAGCTGACAGGTCAGTCATAAACTTGCATTTCCTGGGTCAGGTTGGCTTCAGTCCAGATCTTAACAAAAGCAACCTCATTCAATTAGCCTTATTAATTTCCTTGGCTATTTTTAACAATGAGAAGCCTGTTATTTATGTTGCACAAAGCTGCTGTGTATCAGTTACCATTTTCATGGAGCAATTACTATGGCCCTTCATTGGGAATGCAAGGACTTTGGTGCTCCTCACCAGCCAGAAGCCATTCTCATTATTCTGGGATCATCGATACGATAGATCAGTTCCTTGGGAGCATTATGGCTTATTGTGTTGATCTGTACATTGGGAGTTCTTAATTCAAGGATTGTTAGTCTGATCCCACATGATAAGTTCCAAGTAGCCTGGGGGCAATCCAGTAAAATGCTTTATTATTGAAATCCTCACGGGAAGCTTTTGATTCTGGGACTTGTGTCCCAGTCATTTCATAACGTCTGTTAAAAGCCTCTTAATCACACAGGCAATCATTTCACTGTGTTAGAAGGGAGGAGGCTGCGAGCTTCATTTTCTCCCAAAATTAGTTCTGGTACCATTGCCTATATGTAGCCTTTCCTAATTTCTCCAATTATTATCTCTTGAAAGTTCTTTGCGTATTCTTTTCATTTATGTTCCTGTACACATGCTATATCTTTCCAATAGAATGTAAGCTTTCTGAGGGAGGGACTGGTCTATTTTTAATTTCATATTCCCCAGCAGCTTGGACAATGCCTGGCACACAGAAACTGAGGCCCAGGAAGATGAAGTATATATCCAAGAGTAGTCAATTACAACATGGAAGGTCAGAGAGGATTTTCCCCCTTACCTGCTTATAACTGTGTGGACCCTGAGCTTGTTCTGCCATCATCTCCAAGGAAGAAATATTCCACAAGGTGAATGAATATTTTTTTCATATTTAGTATTTTATTTTCCGCTAATTACACGTAAAAACAATTTTCAACACTTGTCTTTAAAATTGAATTCCTGGGGCAGCTAGGTGGCGCAGTGGATAGAGCACCAACCCTGGAGTCAGGAAGACCTGAGTTCAAATACGGCCTGAGACACTTGACATTTACTAGCTGTGTGACCCTGGGCAAGTCATGTAACCCCATTACCTAGACAAAAAAAAAATTGAATTCCAACTTCTCTCTCTCCCCACCCCTCTCATTAAAAAGGCAGGCAATTTGATATAGGTTGTATGTGTGTCATCATGCAAAACAAATTTCCATATTAATCATGTTCTAAAAGAAAACATAGACCAAAATAAAAAAAACCCAAAAATGAAGTAAAAAAAAAAATGTGCTTTGATCTGTATTCAGACTCCATCAGTTCTTTCTCTGGTGATGGATAGCATTTTTCATCATAAATCCTTCAGAGTTGTCTTGGATCATTGTATTGCTGAGAATAGCTAAGTCAACCATATTTCATCATCTTACAACATTGCTGTTTCTATGTACAATGTTCTCCTGATTCTATTCATTTCACTTTGTATCAGTACATGTAAGTCTTTCCAGGTTTTTCCAAGAACATCTATCTCCTCATTTCTTATATCACAATAGTATTCCATCATAATCATATATCACAAATTTTTCAGCCTTTCCTCAATTGATGAGCACCCCCTCAATTTCCAATTCTTTGCCACCAGAAAAGAGCTGCTATAAATATTTGGGCATAGTTCCAAATTGCTTTACATCATGCTTGAATGAACTCACAACTCCACCAACAGTGCATTAGTGTCTCAATTTTCCCACATCCCATCCAACATTTGTCATTCTCCTTTTCTGTCCTATTAGCCAGTCTAATAGGTGTGAGGTAGTACCTCAGTATTGTTTTAATTTGTGTTTCTCCAATCACTAGTAATTTAGAGCATTTTCTCATATGACTGTGGACAGCTTTGATTATTTCATGTGAAAAGTGTTCATGCTTTTTGATTATTTCTCAATTGGGGAATGGCTCTTATTTTCATAAATTTAGCTCCTTTCTGTATTTATTTGAAAGATGAGGCCTTTATCAGAGAAACTTACTTCAACATTTTTTTTCACTGTTATGGTTGCTAACTGTATTTACCTTCATCCTGTTTCCCCTGTTTATTCTATTCTGTTTCTCCTTTCGCCTCATCCCTCCTCAAAAGTGTTTTGCTTCTCACTACTGCTCCCCAATCCTATTCTCTTATTACTTTTTCCTACTTTCCTGTAGGGCAAGATAGATTTCTATACCCAATTGAGTCTGTGTTTTTCCCTCTTTGAGCCTATTCCAATGAGAGTAAGACTCCAGCGTTTCCCACCACTTCTCCAATCTTCCCATTCCACCTCTCCCCTTCCCCTTCTCCCAGTGCATTCCTTTCCCTCACACCTTAATTTAATATTTTTTAGTTATCATCCCATCATATATGTCACACCTGTACTCTCTGTCTACATATATATATATATATATACACACACACACATACATATATACATACATACACATACACACACATACACACACACTCCTTCTAATTGCCCTAATAATAGGAAAGTTATTATGGGTTACAAGTAGGAATGTAAACAGTTCAATCTTATTAAGTCCCTTATGATTTCCCTTGCCTGTTTACCTTTTTATGCTTCTTTTGAGTCTTGTACTTGAAAATCAAACTTTCAATTCAGCTCTGGTCTTTTCATCAGGAATGCTTGAAAGCCCTCTATTTCATTGCATGTCCACATTTCCCCCTGAAGGATGGGTAGGTGATTCTTGGTTGTAATCCTAGCTCCATTGCCCTCTGATATCATATTCCAAGCCCTCCAATCTTTTAATGTAGAAGCTGCTAAATCTTGTGTTTTTCTGACTCTGGCTCCATGATACTTCAATTGTTTCTGTCTAGCTGCCTGAAATATTTTCTCCTTGATCTGGGAGTCCAGGAATTTGTCTGTAATATTCCTGGGAGTTTTCATTTTGGGATCACTTTTAAGAGGTGATTGGAAGATTCTTTCAATTTCTATTTTACCCTCTGGCTCTAGAATATCAGGGCAGTTTTGCTTGATAATTTTGCAGGTTGGCAATTTTAGTGCCTCCCCCAGAATCATACAGCCATAATGTATCAGAAGCAAGGCTTAAACCCAGGTCTTTCTAGTTCCAAGGTAGGCCCCCTATCCAATATGGCAAGCTTTGAGGATTTAAATAGAAAAGCAAGAGAAGTCTCGTTCTCTGTTGTAAATGTACAACTTAAGGTAGACACCTCTGTTCACTTTTAGGAGAAAACATTGCTTTAAAAACTTTCAACACTTTAAACATATCCATAAACATGGACCAGAAAATGCAGCCCCAGGGCTGCTGGGGATCTGCCTTACTTTTAGGTGCTCCTTCCACGGCCCACTACAATATTTCAGTAAGTAGCTTGCTCTTTTTAGGTGTGAAAACAGGAGCCTGAAAGACAAACAATGTGTGCCCAGTTTCTGCCCCTTGAAAAGCTGCCAAGGAGGTTAAACAAAGGAATATTTTCCCCCACCTAGATGTGGAGTCTCTACCCAACCAAATGGCTTTGGTGAGGATGCTTTGTAACTTGAATATCTCTTTAATGATATACTGAGGTATTGCACGGCTCATGTTTACACCAATCAGCATGCCCAAGAATCAATATTTCCTGTAGACATTTCATCCTCTATAGGCAGCTGGTATCAGATTCTTTGCATTTCCTACAAGCTTTATTTGTCTTTTTTGGAGCCTCTCATGCTTCTCCCAATTTCTTTACACAATGGGAAAGGAAAAAGAATCCTACAGCCTTTGAAGGGAGTGCAGTGGCAGAGAGAAGCTTGCATTTCTGAGCCCAGCAAATAAGACTGATTACACCCTAGCCACTTAAAAAACATTTTTTTTCCTATGGATTCCCAGTTTTGAGAGCAAATGATCTGCTGAGTACTATGCGATTGCCAAGTGACCTTGACATGTGTCATTCACTGTTGTCTAGATTCTGAGCCCTCTCTTTTAATATTCATAAAGATTTCTCCAACACTAAGCATATGTGATGCTCTTTACATGGTTGAGGGGGGAGGGAGGGGAAACAAAGGGTTTTATTTAGAGATCTGTTGAATTTTAAGAAACATACCATCATTGTCTCTCTGATGAAATGATGTATCGTTTTGGAGGTATGAGAATTTGGTTTGGCACTCTTCAGGAGAAGACAGTGATGTGCTGGATGCTGACAGTTTTTTCTCATTGGGGGCTTCCTTGGATGGCGCGTCGGCAATATTGAATTCGGATACTGAATTTATAACGATGCCCTTAACAGATTTCTCATCTGAGTGCTTTTCATTTGTGAGTTGAGTATCTGAATAAAAACACACATACACACACAAAACAAACCTGAAGTTGTTTAGATAGCAATTCTAATCCAGCATTCTTAAAGATATAGAATTTTTTAAAAATCATAGATTTTTCAGGCCAAAAATAAATACCCATTCTAGACTTTTAAGAGTAAAACTTTCAGCCCTAATATTTTGTATATATTATTTATTATATATTACTTTGTATAGATTTACTTATCTATGAAAAAAAAAACCCTGTCCCTTCCCGATAAAATATAGCCTTCCTGAGAGCAGGAACCTCTTTGTTTTTGTCTCTGTATTCCTAGAATGGAGCACAGTGCCTGGACCAAGGTAGACACGGTTGACTTGAATGAATGAAGTAATTCATCAGGATAATTTTTAAGAAAATTGGAAAATGGCAATGCAGGCTCAGAGGTGAAACAGAATGTGTATAATTCAAAAATTCCAAAATTTCATCATGGCAAGGAATAATTATTTACCCATTCCTATTTTATTGTAAAGACTTGGTATTTGTAGAATACATGAAGAGCTGGCCAAGAGGACTTGGATTCAAGTCTTGTCTCTGATACATATGGGTTGTTTGACCCTGGGCTTGTCCCTTAACTTGTCAACACTCTAGGAAACTCTCTAAGACTATTTAACTTCTAAAAAAGATATGTGGACCTGAATTAATTGAGGGAGTCTTCTCATCCGGGAGTTCCCTAAAACAATGAATCCAAGGTCCCATCCCTATCCCTATCCTGTCTTATTGGGGGTGTTGTCATTGTTCAGCCATGCCCAACTCTTTGTGACCCATTTGAGGTTTTCTTGGCAGAGATACTAGAGTGGTTCACCATTTCTTTCTCCAGCTCATTTTACAAATGACAAAACTGAGGTAAGCAGTGTTAAGTGACTTGTCCCAATGTTACAAAGCTAGTGTCTTCCTGACTCCTGGGCCAGCAGTCTATCCATTGTGACACCTAGCTACCCATTTTTATTAAGGGTAAGGAAGAGGAATTGAGCAATGTGTACAGAGCCCAGAACTACTGTTTCAATAAAGTCTCATTGTAGATCTAATAGAATCTAATTATAGTCCAATTAATCCTCCTAGTAGAATGTAAACTCAGTGAGGGCAAAGGCTATTTCGTTATCATCTTTGAATATCTAGCAGGATACTTAGCACATGATGGGTGGTTAGTAAGCATTTGTTGAATTGGACTTTTAACAAATATAAGTATTTCAGTACGGTGGTTTTCCTTTGTAATCCTATGTAGTTTAATTTAATGCATTTAAAAATGCTATTCTGAGAAGGGGTCCATAGGTTTCACCAGAGTGACAAAGGGCTCCAGGACCCTCCCCAAAAGGTTAGAACCCTCTCTTTTATTCAGCTATTTCATGCCTATTGGTAAAACATGCCAACTCTTTTCTAACCCACATATGCTGACATTGAGGCTATGTGTTGAGTAGGGCCAGCAGGCATCAGGGGCTAGTTAGTTAAAAATTAGAAAAGCAAATTGAAAGAGTCCTGGAAAGACTGCAAAACATTTCTCTTCTGTGGACCTCAGTTTCCTCATCTATGTAAAGCAAAAGGGTCCTATCAAGTGATTTCAAAAAGCCCTTCCAGCTCTTGCATTCGATGCTACCTAGAGATCATTGTCACACTGACCCAAAGCATGAAAGGAGAACCAAGTGTTTTCTAGGGCAAGGACAATTCTGTTTTGTTATTGGGTTCCTAATGCCTAAGTTGGGGATTCTTAAACTAATTTGTGTCCTGGACCCCTTGGGATCTCCTTGGAGTCTGGTGAAGCCTATGTCTCCTCAAAGTAATATTTTCAAATGCATGTCAAAAAAATAAGGTTACAAAGGAAACAATTTATATTAAAGTAGATTTATCAAAATATTAAAGAAAGTTCACAACCCCCCATAGTTAAGTAGACTACTTACTTGGACAAGCAATGGTATCTCTTGTACTACATGGGGGTAGGGAACTGAATTAGTTAGAGCAGTCCCATGACCCTAGGATAAAAAAAAAATCATTTTTCCCCCCATCAAATCACTGTCCTAGTCCTTCTGTAAGTTGCATCTAAATTCAATGCAGATGGAAAAGTCGGCTTGATATCCATTTCTTCATTACAACCATTTAGCTTTGGCCAGTGGAAGGGAGAAAGGCAACAGCATGCTGGTTCTTGCATCAATGATTTTGAATGATTGATTATAAGCTAGGTGCTGGTGGATACTTCAGAGGAGCACTAGAGTTAATGGCAAGGGGCACATGCTTGTCTCAGGTGATTCTGGGTTTTTTTTGGTCATCGTTGTTTCAGATGTTGCAAAGTGTCCCCATTCCCAACTCGCTTGTTGTACCCTCTCTCTTTTACTACCAGCCTCAAATTCCTTCACTATGATTTGATGTTTAAAAAAAGGATTAGCAGGAGCTCAGGTTGTGTGTACTAGGGAAATAGGAAATCTGCATGTCAGAGGGGCTCAGAGAAACATCTCCAGTAGAGCAATGAAAGTGATATTTGGTAAATAGTAGGGTTGGCCAATCAGATAGGAAAATGCTCATCTCTGTTCAACCTTATGGAGTAGGCCCCCACATTTCTGCTTACAACTCTGATAATTCGGAAATCAAGGCACACAGCAGATAGGCGAGTCATACCAATTCTTGGCTGACATAGTCTTAATGCCTACTTCTCCCCAACTCTTAAATTGTAAGCTCTTTGAAGGTAGTTACAGGTATATCATGTAGAGCCTAAGTAATGATAATGGACACATACATAATGCTAGGGCAGCTCAGTGGATAAAAGTCTAGGCATGGAGTTAGGAACACCTGAATTTGAATCCAGCTTTAGACACTTACTAGCTGTGTAACCCTGAGCAAGTCACTTAACCGTTGCTTGTCTTAATGCACTGGAGAAAGAAATGGCAAAGCAGTTCAGTATCTTTGCCAAAAAAAATTCATGGATCATATTGGTGTGATATGTCTATGGGGTTGTGAAGAGTCGAATGTGACTAAAGAACAACAACATAATGCTTCTGCATGTAGCAACTCCCAATAGCCCTTTGGAGCAAGTACTTAAAGCATTATTAACTCCATTTTACAAACAAGGAAACTGAGACTCAATGACTTGCATGTAGTCACACAGCTAATGAATGTCAATGGTGGGTTTTGAACCCAGGACTTGATTTGAGATTAAGCATTGTATTCATTACACTACAGTGAATCCTTTTACTAGCTTACCCACTGCTAGCTTGAATCCCTGCCGCTTCTTCCCATCTAGGTCCCCAGGGCCCAGTTTAATGCCTTATTTAAGACAGGAACTCAATATATATTTTTTTTAATTGAATGATCCTGGCATTCGAAGGACCTGCATTCAAACCCTAGTTCCGCTACTTATTGCTTGGGTGAGTTTGGGCCAATCACTTAGCCTCTCGTGGCCTCAGTTTGCACAGCTTTATAATGGTGCAGTTGGACTTGATGACCTTAAGATCCTTTCTAACTCTAAACTTTTGAGCCCATGACCTTCCATCTTCTTGGTTCCACTACTCTTCAGTCCTTTCATATTATTGCCTTCCACACATCTGTTCCAGCTTAACTTCAAACTGACCCGTTACCTCTTCTCCAAATGCAACGTTCCAGCTCTGGCCTCCTTACAGATTGTTCTTCCATGTGTAGAAGTGATCTGCAGTCCCCTCTCTCCCCTCTAAACAATCTATGATCCAGGTAGACTTGCTGTCCTTTGCAAACAACACGTGTCTCCTGTATATTGGCACTGGCTTGTCCCCATGCCTAAAATGCTCTCCCTTCACCTCTTATATTCTCTGACTTCCTTAAAGACCCTTCTACAAGAGGTTTTTCCTGGTTGGTTCCCTCCCTGCCACCATCCTTATGAGATTAACCTTCATCTCCTGGGCATGTATTTATAGGTATATAGTTATTTATATGATGTCTACCTCCACTGAAATGTAAGCTTTCTGAAGACAGGGGCTGTGTGTTTGTTTTCCCTTTTAGCACAAGCACCCAGTCCAGTAAGTCTTTAATACGTGCTGACTGTCTCCTTCTCAGTTCTAAGTATTACTTTTTGTTGTTGAGTCATTTCAGTTGTGTCTGACTCTTTGTGACCCCATTTGGGTATTTTTTTGGCAAAGATAGTGTGGTGGTTTGCCATTTCCTTCTCCAGCTCATTTTACAAATGAGGAAACTGAGGTAAATAGGGTTAAGTGACTTGCCCAGGGTCACACAGCTAGTAAGGGTCACACAACTGAGGTTGGACTCATCATGAAGATGAGTCTTCCCAACTCCAAGCCTGGATCTCTATCCACTGCACCACCTAGCCACCCTTAAGAATCACTATCACCCATCAGAACACAGCTCAGGGGCTATCTCATAGATTAACCTTTCATGGTCCTTAGTTGTCCATGCTCACAGGTCTTTATGCCTCTCCAGGCTGCACTCTGGACTTCTACCGTGCCTCCGAAACCTCTTCATCCTAGAAGCTTACTCCAGCCCTGGAACTGACACAGTGGAAGTATCTTCCACCCCTGTGGCCTCTCCTTCTGACTGATGACTCCTCCGCTCAAGGAGAGTATGCAGGCCAGCAAAGTCTTCATTTCTCACCAGAGAGTACTCTGGAATTTCTTTATCACACGTGGTGTGTCTTCAGCATGCTCCCTTCCCCCTTTAAACTTCCTTTTGTACTTTGTCTTCTCTTTTTAATGTAAGCTCCTTGAGGCACATACTCTCTTTGTGTTTGCTTTTGTATTTCCAGTGCCTAGCAAAGTGCCTGGTATGTAGCAAACACTTCATAAATGCTTGATTGATGGGCAGAGATGGGAATCATGGGTGCCACCTAGCCCAATCCCCTCCTACAGATAAGAAAACTGAGGCCCGTGGAGGGGAAGTGACATGTCCAAGGGGACACGTTGAGTAAGTATCAGAGAAGGAACTTGAACTAAGATCGTCTAACTACAGGGCCCACAATGCTCTTTCGACTGTCCTAAATCTTAAGTGATAGAGCAGACCTAA